TCGAATTTCTTCAAACTACAACTTAAGTTTATAAATACTCCAGAAACTGAACAATGCCTCAAACTTATGTTTTGGAATTATTTGCTTCACAATAATAGAAGAAGCTAGTAAGGCCTTAAATGGGGAAAACCATTCACTCAAAATTTAGATTTAAGTAAATGGGAAAGTAATAGGTGTAACAAATAATGACATGTTCGTTCAAATGAATACAAGAAGGATAATCAGTAGCCCATGTTATAAGAATGACACGTTCACTCACTGGATTAGCCTCAAAAGGTACACCAAGCCGAGATTGTGTATTTGCAACTGTAAGAACAACGTTCTCTCTCTGATTCCTTACGTTGTCTTTCTGTAAAATTAACCAGAACAGTTATCAAAAGGGATAGATTAAAGATGCATAAGAATAGCAAGTGGAATTGAAAATATATGCATAGCATAGTGCTATATTTACCACACCACAAAACTGCAGATATAATTAAGCTTATGGAAAATGTAAAGAAACACAAACCTGAAAACCAAACACACATTCCAACAGATCAAACATGTCAGCATCTCGTTGTCCAGATATCTCAAAAGCAGCAGGAAGTCTGGGGAATTGCTCAGTATATCTAATTGCAGATATTGCACCTCTCACCTGATGAGATTAGATACAAGTTCAAAAATGTTAGTCAGAAGTAAGTTTAATGATTCGACAATACAATGCCTACAAAATAGCTGCATCACAGAGAATAAGACAAGTTTCACAACACAAAAGGCACTTGTTAATTGTTGTTTGCTATTTATGAAAACCAACATTAATCTTTTTTGGATCATACATAACCAAAGATATATTAAATGCAAAGTGAATGTAACAGAACTCTTAAAGGAGATGAAGAACATGAGGCATGACATATATAATTCAAGTCAAACTTACTTCCGGGAAAACTCCAATGGCATTGGTCAATGATGGCGCTTCAAGAGGCACAATATTGTAGGCCAAATCCCCAGACAATGTTGCATCGGTGTTTTTAATTCTTCGCAACTGGAAACCCACAGATCAATGAACACAGTCAATTGTTATCATAAACTGAAGCTAAAACAATATTGCCAAAAATAGTTGGGAAGGTGAACTGATATAAGTCAATATAAGATCAATTTTAGTATACTATATAAGGTCAAACTTTGCCCAGTGCAAAGGATTTTAGAGACAAACAGGCCTTCAATAGTAAACCATTTATTGAACATCACATCCAAAAGTAGGAGGTAAAAGGAATAACACCTCCTCCGTAATAAGTCTCCCAACTCCATTAGGATCTGCATCTTTGCTAAGTGCCTCCATCACCTCAACTATAGCCCTCAAGGTGGCAAATGTCTTTTTCATTTCTAAATAACTGAGCTCCAATATGAAACAACAAAACAATTAACAAATAAAATCATAACAACAAAAGAGGAGGGGAAAGGTCTATTAAAGCAAAACATGATGGCCATACTCGCCAAGGCCAGCACTAAAAGTTCCAGATTCACGCCATCTTTGTTCCTGTCTCTGGATATCATCTACTTTATGTCGTCGTTTGTACCGCTGGTAAAAGTCCCAAAGGTGCTCAATATCATGATTACGATCTATTTGACCCCCATCTCTTTTTGCAAGTTTTGCCTGAAACAAAAAGCCAAATACTCAAAACTTAGTATATATTACTTATAAGAAAGGAACAAAAATACACAATGCACAACCTATCTTATAATCATAATAATGTCACTGCATCAATAAACATGACACTAATAGCATAAATAGGCTCATGCAAAATTTACCAATCACTAATTAGAGCTTAAGTGATACCTTGATTACAGACATCAACCCAGTCTTAAACTGAAGAACACCTCTACCATCACTTTTCGGATCCAGATTTTGCGCCATACCATACGCCTGCTCACACACTAAGACCCGAATAATATAAATGTTGTCAATACATAAATAATCCAACAAGCATACAAGTATTCTAAACAAAACACATGCTCCAGCAAATACACCATCAAACCAAACATTCCAGCAATTAAACAAAACAACAAAAATTGGTTGAACAGTACTGAAATAGTTTTCTGAAACAGCAAATGCTACTGAATTAGCAGCATAGTATAATTCCCGACTTTTATATGTCTTTACAATAATTCTCAAGCTCAATTAGCTAAACTTAGCTCAAGAGCTTAAAGTTTATATTAACACATCAACCCTTAATGCATGTTTAAAATTTGAACTAAATTGTAACCGAATATTTTATGCAAGGCAGAAATAGCAACAATTAGAATGGCACCACCAACAATTGAGCACTGAAAAAAATCAACATTAATTTTAAGATATTCGAAATGAAAAGGCTTACAAATCCTGGAGACGTTGGGGTCCTCAGCTTGAATCGCATCGGCAGCTTGTAAGATCGCATCGATGTTCGTGGTCTTTCCCAGCGATGGTGGGACAGCGCCGGCGATTCCACTAGGAACCCTCTCGTGGCCTTGGCCGGAACTTCTGAGCTGCTCCCTCTTTAGTGTGGCCCGCACCAGCCGCTCCCAATTGCCGTAAACCCTAGCCATGTCTACGAGGCCGGCTCGGACGAATTGGAGCTCTAGATTTGAATGGTCTGACTGGGTAAGACTGAGTCGAATAGGTGACCGTTCTGAAATGGAATTAGGGGGTTTGGATCTGATGAGAGGTTTAACGAGGAAACGCGAAGAACGGAAAGGGAAATGAGGAAGACGGAAGTGAAATTACGAAATTGGCCTTTAAGATTTAAACACGTAAAAGCAAAGCCTTTTGGTCTGCCAAGCGCGTAATGGTGGTGAAGCTTCTTTTTGGGCTAACGAGCTAGCCAAGCGCGTGTTTACTAATTTGATACACGTTCGCGCCCAAAATAAGATGATTAAAAGTCTAACCCTAAACCTAAATCATCATTTTAAACTGTTTTTTGGATCTGGATCATTTTTAAACTCTTAAACAAAAACAATATTGCTATAAGGAAAACACTAGTTACTATAAATATAGTGCAAACCTCCCTTGTGGTTGAATATTAAGGTATGATTCCAAATTGAAATATTTAAATACTAATTATTCACTAAAGAAATAATAACTACAAGCTAATTACTAATTATATTAATTATATAAGACTAAGATATTACTTCTTCTTTTTTATTGCTAAAGAAAAATACTAGTAACGATAAATACAATGCAAAGCTCCCTTGTGGTTGAATAAGGAATATTAAGGTGTGATTCTAAATTTATATTGCCAAAGTACTCTTGTTTCCATACAACTGATTTATGAATTTTTTTAAGGAATTATAAGATGAAATTTATGTGATTATTTATCATAAAAAAAAATATTTTTCAAATGCATGATAATGGGACTTCATCCCATTATCAAATCAAACATCAAATTTTTGGAATATATTTTTTTTAATGCAATTGTTAGTTTAGATTATAAAAGGAAGTGAGAATTCACATACACGCATTACAAAAGTTGTCATGCCTCGGGAGTTCAAACATGAGGTCATGTGTCTACAAATAAATGCCCTTTTTAGGTAAACTAGATCATGTTGACCAAATGTTTGGAATATGTTTAAACAAGCTTTGTAATTATCTTCATATTTTGTAATTCCTTCGAAAATTAATGAAAATTGTTTTTTGTTTGGTGAAAAATAAAACACAAAAAGAAAAGAAAAAGCCATTTAGGAAAAGAGAACAAATAAAAGCCGATGTGTGAAACAGAAGACGACGTCGCTTGACCTCCTCTGAAAGTTTGGATTGGACTTTGAAGCACTCTGCATATACGAGATTTGTGACCGACCGGTTCCCTTCAACGGAAGGTCAAGACGGTGCATTTCGAGCCCTGAAACTCACCTGACTCGTTGAGTTTCAGTGCAAAACCCTAGAACGACTCAAACCGCACACAGGGAAGGGAAGTCACCACTCCAAGTGAGTAAGGGTTTCTCACTCAAATTTTGGAACTTTGTATCGTTCTAGTGCTAATTCCATGCGATTAAATACGAATTAAACATTGATTGATGTTTGAGATTTTGTAGTGTTTGATCCGTTTGGATGAGTAGAAAATAAAGGAAAAGTTTTTATTTTTTTATTTTTTATCATATTTAAATTTCGTTTGATTTTTTAATTTGATAAGTTGTCATGGTTCGAACATGTCAAACTGGCCGAGTCAGCAAGTTAGTCCGGAGTGGGTTTGCAGGAGTTAGTTTTCTGTTATTTCGTTATTGGGATTGGGCGGGAAAGGGAGAGCATTGTGTATAAATGTAGCAAAGGTGTTTGATATTAGTCATTGAGAAGGAAAAGAAAGTTTCAGAGGCTTCCCTGCATCCCTGCAGCAAGCAATTCCTTTTATTTTTCACTGTGATCATTCAAGATCACCATGAATGATCATCTTCACCAGTCGGGCTATGTTTAGTTCATTTAGAAGCCTAATTCTGCAATTCGACATCTTAAGATGGTCACACAAGTTTTTTGTAGAAAACATTCATATAATGTTCATTGGCATATTATGGCTTTTCTAATCAGCCAGTTTAGTGGTTTTCTTGTATGTCATTATTCAATTGGTTATCTGAGATTGTCACCTCCTTGTTTGGAAGACATAAGAACTTAGATATTTGTAGAACCCAGTTTTGTTCTTTCACTCTAAGTTTACTTAGTGCTATTGTAACGTAAGCAGGTGTTTCTTTTGTATGCTTTGTATGTTTAGCTAGGTTTAATCATTTGGGAGATAATTTTTTCTCTTTTTTAATCTTTCTGGCCATTGAATTGTTTCTTGTCTTGGAAAAAGTAAGAGGCTGTCTTCTGTAAATTAAAGATTTAAATCTTCTACTGTTAGATTTAAATTGGCCCTTAAATTGGGATGAATCATCATGTAAATGGATATGCTTTTCTTGAGTAAGGTTTATGGTGTGCTGAACAAAGTGGCTGAATGATTTGTCTGTTACCTAGATCTTCTGTTCTGTCATGGCTGCCTTTTCTTTTTGGTTCCTTAGGCATGTGGATCAGTCCTATTTATGTTCTTAAGAGGTGCACTGGTTCAAATTCATCTTGGATCTCTCAGGTTTTTTTTAAAGGAATAAGTTGAGGCATTATCTAGGCACTTCCCAAAATAATAGGTTGAAGGTTTAGTGGATAACCTGATTTTCTTTAATTTCAAATTGTTTTGATGTTGATTGGAATCTTTTGAATAGGCTATGTCTGGCTCTGAACCTGAGAGTCCAGAAATGGAGCCAATACAAGCCAATCCTGCTCCAAGGAGGCCTCGGATTCTACTTGCTGCTAGCGGGAGTGTAGCGGCCATAAAGTTTGGCAACCTCTGCCATAGTTTTTCTGAATGGGCAGAAGTAAAAGCAGTTGCCACAAGAGCATCCTTGCATTTCATTGATAGGACATCACTTCCCAAGGATGTAATCCTGTACACCGATGAGGATGAGTGGTCCAGTTGGAACAAAATGGGTGATAGTGTGCTTCACATTGAGCTCCGCCGTTGGGCTGATATCTTGGTTATTGCCCCATTGTCAGCAAACACACTAGGCAAGGTAGCAATCTGGAAATCTTGTGCATTTATAAAGTTGTTTTAGCAACAGGATGAGATAGGTGACTCAAACTATCATCTTCTGTGTAACTTTCAAATTTTAGTTGTCATTCCCTCCATTTGTTTTTTTATGGCAAGAATGAGATAATGGAATCCGTGTTTTTCTCGTAGATTGCCGGGGGATTGTGTGACAATCTACTCACTTGTGTTGTACGAGCATGGGACTACAGCAAGCCTTTCTTTGTTGCACCAGCCATGAACACCTTGATGTGGAAGAATCCCTTCACGGAGCGACATATCATGTCGATTGATGAACTTGGAGTGTCGCTCATCCCGCCTGTCACAAAGAGGCTGGCTTGTGGGGATTACGGAAATGGAGCAATGGCTGAACCTTCTTTGATTTATTCTACTGTAAGACTCTTTTTCGAGTCTCGAGTTCAACAAGGTGGCAGTGTTGTTTAGGAAACGGTATAATAGAAGTAAAGCTGCCGCCATCTTGAGATTCGATGACAGACTTTAACTTGAGAGACCCGATGACACAATTTGGCTTGGTATGCATGACATGCTAGAATTGTTTTTGCGGGTTGTTTGCTTTTGTGTTAGGTGCATATGGTGTTTTGGTATGTGAACCAGGCTAATTATATATCTATAAATTGTATTAGTTGATTTGTATTCAGCTTTTCACTTTAGGATTTGGTCCATCATTTGGTTCTATTCTACATCTCAGAAGAAATTATCCATGTCTTAGGAGCTACTGATAAATAAAATAATAATAATTCCAAACTATTCAGATTTCATGCACGAAGTACAAACCTATCAAACTTAGGAAGATTTTCATTCTTGCAACTTGCATCAGGCTTATTGTCATGCTTGTCCGAACGATCAAGCCTGTAAAACGACAAAAAAGAACACCAGAAGTTTTGCGTTAAGTAAAATTAGCCAAGATATATCTAATATAATTACCAATCAAAAGCAAATATTTTGTTTGAGGGACTTGTAATAATTTCTTACGTCATTGCAACTGGGCTGATTTGTAGATCGCCAGTCGGTTTCGAAGAATAATATTTGAAATAATAAGTTTCGTTGGCCTTGATGTCTGCATTGACGCGAAATCCTTCACCAGGAGCAAGGCTTGTAACGAGCAGTTGGAACACCACTACACGTACACAAAACTTGTTCGACGGATCCCAGCCACCACTCATTATGCACATAAGCCCATCATCACCACTCATATGGCTGATGAAGGTTGAGGGAAACTCTAGACAAGGCTGCCATAACACCTTCCGAAGCTCAACTAGCTCCCCAACCGGCTTCGGGATGCCGTTGATCGGATCCAAACTATAAGCAATAACATCTCCACCCCAATAAGGGGCGTTAACCAGAAAGTCCTTGAATTCTGCAAAACGAGAGAAAGATGCCTTCGGGACGCCAGATGCAATTGCATCATCCTCCTCCCATTTATTTTGAAGGGTGTCAAAAACGTAATATCTTCGGTTTAACCAGTGCCTCACAACGAGGTTGTCGCCCCAAGAACATTCAAAAAGGGCAACACCAACACCAACGGGGAAGGGGGGATTGGGGAGGACTGTCCACAACCCGGTAACCGGATCGAAAACCTCGAAGAGGGCTGGCGATTCTTCTTCCACCTCGTACTCGACAGGCTCCGTGGACAGGACGTAGATTTTATCCTTTAGGGTGACCACCACAGGATTTATCTTGGGAGCAAAAGTCATGGGAAGTGTAGGTTTTTTGCCCTCTGTGGGTTCACAGTCAATGACTTCAAGGTTTGGTTTAAAAGGTTCGCTAGGACGCTTGGGGCAAGACTTACCTCCCACAATATAGGGTTTGGAATTCACAATTATATATGTCATGCCTTCTGGTAAATTCCTTCCGTCAGGAAAATAAGAGCCATGAACAAGTTTAAACTCGGGCCTCGGAGAACTCCTTGCCAACAATTTACTAAGATCTAGAACCAATAGGTCATCGTCCATGTTAACATAGAAAAACCAATCCTTCTCCTCCGCCATCATCATCTTCTTCTTCAAGAATTCTCTCTTTTTGTTCAGAGGTAAAAGCAACAGGAGAACGCAGCCTAAACCCTAATTACAATATTAATATTGTGACCGCAACAAGTCATGAAATCTTTGAAGCTTACCTAAAAACCTCAACTAAAAACCTAGAGAAATTCGGAAGCGACGAGTTCTAATATAAGAATGTGTGTTGCCGCCAAAATTTACATGCACTACGAAAAGAGAAGCAAAAGGAATTTCTGATTTGGGCCTTCATATGGTATATTGGCATCCAAGGAAATAGCGTGAGGCGTTGAATCCAATCAACCCAAAACACGTTCTTGGACACAGCTATGGCGGGCCAGCCCAATTTGTTAATAGGCCCCAATTAAAAAGATAATTTTAATCCTACAAAAATTTAAACTAACATAATTGAACAAGTTAAAATGCATCGGGTTGTGTTGACACGACCCGTTTATTAAACGGGTTGATTATGTCATAATCGAGTTAGGATTGACCAAAACTCACTCATTTATTTACAATGTTTTGGAAGGTTGACCGAAATTGTCCTTGGTCATTTTATGAGTTGATCTAAATAAATTCTTGTGAATTTCCAATAGTCTATTGTGCCGTGTTGGGAATTGCTACCTCTTGCAGTGATATTTCACGCAATTATAGCGAAACCCTTTCTTAACAAGTATCACAAAGTTCTCCTGGCTATGACTTGGTGCAGCCGCGCATATAGAACACACATCATGTTTAGTGACGTTAACTTGGCTAGTTGATACCATCAAATGCTTCCAAACATGTCTTTAGCTGCCTAAAGATAGCATTCGACCATGTTCTCATGTGAGAAATATTATAAGACCATCAAGGGTGTATAATTCGCCACGCACGATTTAATAATATAACGTCAATTATATGTATGATGTTGATGTATTATGAAACTTACATGCATTAACGACGTTAGAGTCGAATACCATGCCTTTTACCTGCACCCTGTGCTTGTGGCTCTCGTTGAATGTGTCCATGACTACCATTTAACACAGCTATCCGCAAAAGAGTGCTATATAAATGAGGTTTCTTATTGTGGGCGAGGTCATAGCGGTGGTTGCAATATTTAAGGATGTGCATCAAAGCACCGACAGTATTGTGAGGTCAAATGTATAGAAGCAAAAGAATAAATAAAATTACTCTCTCTCCCTCTCTCTCTCTCTCTCTCTCAAAATCTGCCGAAAGAAAAAGAAGTTGAGTGTGGACACTTGCTCATTTAAGGCCCAACTACTCTTCCTTCAACTACTTCAAGATATTTAGCTCCGAATTTATAACTCTCACCTCCCTTCCTTTCAACAGAGAAGAGTTTAACTTGTGTTTTATTTGAAAAGAAAACAGTGTTTGCTCTCCTTAAACACCTCTTTCACAGTGTTTAACAATCTTTAACATAAAGGAAATGAAGGTATGAGGTTCTTGTTTGTATATTGGATTATGAAGGATAAATCTTCTTATTTCCAGCTTAATCAATCCATAAATTATATGTTGCTGCTAATTAATAATTCATGGACAGTCTTATGTTGGCAGTACATACAGAGTTTTTAAGATGAAAAATATAGGTGGAGGACATATTTGCCATTTTGAAAAAGATAAAATGTATATAAGCCGTACATACATGCAGAGTGAAAAGCCAGCTGGCTAGTGAGTAAAGCTTGGAAGCCTTGAGAAGAGTTAGACAATGGCTTCTTCTTCAGTCACATATTTCTCTTGGAAAAACACCCTCATTGCCATCACCACCATCTTCATCCTCTCCTCTTCTTCTTGTTCTGCCTCTCCTGCCACAACCAAAGTAAACCCAAGACCAAGACCCTTCAAGAAAATCTATGCCTTTGGTGATTCATTCACAGACACAGGCAACACAAAATCTGCCACAGGCCCTAGTGGTTTTGGCCATGTCTCAAACCCTCCATATGGCACCACTTTCTTTCACCGCCCTACCAACCGCTACTCCGATGGGCGGTTAGTGATCGATTTCATAGCTGAGTCACTATCCTTGCCTTACTTGAAACCTTACCGTTCCATAATGAGCAATGCTACAGATGCTGCTTATGGGGTTAACTTTGCTGTTGCTGGCTCTACAGCCATAGAGCACCAGTTCTTTGTCAAGAACAACCTTAGCCTTGCAATCACTCCTCAGTCTATCCTAACCCAGCTCCTCTGGTTTGACAAGTTCTTGGAAAGCCAGGGCTGCAAAGTGGCTGGAGCAGCATGCAAAGCAGCAGCTTTTGATGATGCACTTTTCTGGGTTGGTGAAATTGGGGTCAATGATTATGCTTATACCGTTGGATCTGATATACCAGGTGATACCATCCAACAGCTTGGGATCAGTAGAGTTACTAATTTTCTGCAGGTAGGACTTTGGCTATATGGATTTAGGTTGCTTTCCAATATATGCTCTCCATGTCAAGTCCTAAATTGGATCCTAATTCTAAATATTAAGACAACTTTGTGTTTGATATGAGTTTAAAAAACATAAGTAGAGGATCCAATTTCGACTTTGGCTAATTGGACGGTGATGTTTCTGTTACTTTGCAGGCATTGTTAAAGAAGGGTGCAAAGTATGTTGTTGTGCAAGGCCTGCCACTCTCAGGGTGCTTGCCATTGGCCATGACCTTAGCTCCCGAAGACGATAGAGACAGTATAGGATGTGTGAAGAGTGTAAACAACCAAACCTATAGCCATAACCTTGTCCTCCAAGCCAAGTTGCAACAACTCAGGACACAGTTTCCCCATGCTGTCATCACCTATGCTGATTACTGGAATGCCTATTTCACAGTCATGAAGAATCCAAACCAGTATGGTTTCAAGGAGAGCTTCAAGGCCTGCTGTGGGACAGGTGACCCCTACAACTTCGAGGTGTATGCCGTGTGTGGCACACCGTCTGCTAGTGCCTGTCCAAGCCCTTCCCAGTACATAAACTGGGATGGAGTTCATCTCACTGAAGCCATGTACAAGGTGCTTACTGATATGTTCCTCAATGGCAAGGCCACTCACCCTCCCTTCAGTTACTTGTTGGACATGAAACTGCGTCATGGATGAACTGCTTGCCTTTGGATCAGCTTAATGTTTTAGTACTTTGCTGTGTTGCTTGTGATCAGAGTATATTGTAGTTATGAAGCAAAAGAAAAAAAATCGGATGGTATAATCGGCGCTAGAGTTACTACTGCCTGAGAACACTTCTCAGACTTCCATAATTTAGAATATCTTCTAAAAATTTTACTTGTTGAACTATTGATCGAATCTTACTTGTTTCCAAATATTTGTTGTTCGGGAGGAATTGAACCTATGAAATCGCCAATATTTATCATCGAAAGCTATTGAATCAGATTCAACAAAGGAAATGATGCACTCTTGGTGCCATGGGATTTAATCATCCAAGAAAGGTTAAAAAAGAGAAAGTGTTATCTCTGTGCAAATGAACTCCTCACTAAATGCAACATGGGAGTCGCATGGCCTGATGGCCTTTCCATGACAAAATCAAAATTTCATGATAAAAGAAGTGACTCTTCTGATATATATAATTTTTATCTCTTACACAGAGCATGTACATTATTTTGCACAAGGTGAAGTCAAAAGAAATTTTCAATGTGAAAGCCTCGCCAGACTCTGTACATGTGATGGTTGGCAATTCTCTCTCTATACACCATATTTTTCTAGCATGTTTGATCAAATTAAGTACTCATAATACATTAAGAATAGAGCATCCGGGAGATCTTTTGGCAGGCTGTTAATAAAAAGATAGAACCGCAACATATCCTCCTTCAACACAGTTTGAGTGTCAACCACATCACTGCCGCAGGTCAGAACCCACAAGTCCCCTGAATTCACTCTCTTTATACTTCCTCGGCAGAACGGGCACGATTCCGATCTTGTGTTCCTATAACACATAAAGATGTAAATATGTGACAACTGTTATAAATAATGTGCCCCATCATCATACGGTGATACTGGATGAGACTAAAGCAGAAAAAGGAAGAACAACTATTTTTGGGGATTAAGGAAGAACTAGGTTATTCATACCAATCGCGGTAGCAATTAATGCACATGGCATGGCAACAGTTTGGCAAAACCATTTTGGTACAAGGCTCCAAGCAGATGCCACACTCATTTTCTCTCTCCAAGTCTACATCTGAAAGCTTTAGCTTATCCTCATATCTCTTCCTAACAGCCATCTCTAGAGCTTCCTCTTGGGTGATATCCATCTCCAATGAATCACCATGGAGACGCTGAAGGGATGGTAATATAACATCTGCAGTTTAGGTTGGGAAGACATGAATAAAGATGAATTTCACAAATGTGGCAGCATGTAACATTACGCAAAGTTTGATGACAATTAAAGTTTAAAAGCAGAAAGGCTACACCCCAAATGCAATGCTTTATGAAAATTGGAAAGCAGCAGGCAAAATGAGATCCATTTAAAGAAGGGAAGCTGTTAAGTATTTTAAGCATCAATATTGTTCAAGCAGGATCTTCAACAGATATTAAACTACTAAAAAGAGTAGAGATGTAGTTTACAAACTGTAGAATTCACTGACGGTGGCTTTCCTTCCACATGAAGAGATATTTGACCTCCCATCTGTGCGCACCTGAAGACATATGAAAGCAAACACAGAAACATTCAAGAACCTGGATTTCATTCTTACGAGGGGGCAAACATTAAACTACTAATTTGCTCTAGAAACAAATGAACCGGCAAGCAGAAACCAACCTTATATACAATTATGTGGAAAAGATTTAAGTAACTTGAAAGTAAACATGAAGAGGAGCAATCAATCCATTGAAGCAAAAACAGGAAAATGGGTGCCAAGTGATTGTAAACCAATTTCATTTGAAGAACCGTACCACTCTTGCGTCTGGGGATGGAAGCTGCCCTGCAAACATATATTTATTCAAGTAACATCAAAAGTCACTTAACTTCATCAACCAAAAAAAAAGTCTATTAACTCAGCAAAACATTCGAAGGGTCAGCAACAAATTCATAAAACAAGGTAAGCAAGGAACCGGACGTCGTGCTCCTAAAACCATGGACCGAACCTCAGGCCACTTTTAACATTGCAAATATTCAGCAAACCCCCAACATTAGTATAGCCAGCAGAGAATGTAATGATAAAATAACTGGGGGAATCCAGTAGTATATATCCAAGATTATGTACAGAAGACTTGCAAACTTCCTAGCATGCTCATTATCCAACATAAAGATCAAAGCTTGTGAATTGGGGTCAACATGACAACAAATTTTGGAATTCATTTAGCATAACGATGACAGCGAGGACAAAAGGCGTTGTATGCAGATTATGTCCACATACCCAAATAGATATTAGTTTCAGAACAAATAAAAATACTGAAATGCAAAATAACTATTTTATTTTCTCTCTTTCTTCCCCAATTCTTTTTTGCAGAAACAATCCATCAAAACCAAAACCAAAATTATTAAGGAAATAGAAACCCATGCGTTATTGCAGAGTAGGATTCAACCTCAAAATAGTAAATGTAGAATATGGAAGAAAAACCATTACAAAACATTACATTACTAAGAGTACAAACTCAGAAGCCTATAACTTTATTTCACGTTTCTCAAACCCAGTTTCAAAATACAATATAAACACAAAAAAGCAAATTGGAAAGGAAAAAATAGGAAGGGGGTTGCACTCACAGCATATTGGCATGCTGAATATCAGCCTCAAGAACCTTAAGAGAATCATTGTAAGGACTAGCAGCAAGCTGCTCGTAATAATCCAACATTTCACACTCCTTTTTAGTCAAATTTTCAACCTTCAAAGAAAAAAAAAAAAAAAAAAAAAAAAAAAAAAAGAAAGAAAAAGAGAGAGAGAGGATTAGAGAGAAGGGAAAGTAAAGAAACCCAAGAGAATTGGTGGTCTTATGTGCACAAATGCAATGAAAATCCTTGGGTCTTTGCAAAGAATGGTCTTTGGAGCCTAGAAGTAGTTGCGAGGCCAAGGGGACAAACCTGCCATCAAAACCTAATCTTCATCAAACTCTATATAATAACAGTGAGGGGGAGATAGACTTGGTCTTACTTTTGCTGTTTTGAATTTGATTTGTTGATTTGTTTTGATTATCCACTTAAAAGTTTGATTTTTTTGACTTTCTAAAACTTGCCCTTTGACTGCTTTCATTGCCTTGGTTGAGTGGTTATGAGTAGGTATTTTCTGCTTCCCATCAGAACCATCTATTTTGGTCAGAATAATGGGAAAGATAAACTGCAGGCAATAACAGGAACAGGACCACATTGCTTTTTGTAGTTTAAGCTTTTCTTTTTGAGCTGGGCCAGTTCATGGGCTTGCATAAAACCCAAATCCAATGCCTTGACTTTTGTTAACATGAAAAACAAGCCACAGTACTACCACACGTGGACATCGCTCGTTTCACGCGACACAGCTTGACCCAAAAAAACAGAAACAAAAACAAAAAGAAGAAGAAGCTTAATAATGAGTGTGACTGGTGAGTGGCAAGCCCTTGCCGGACCTTTCAAAGACCAAGTTTTTCAGAGAGGACTGAACCCAAAATCACTAAAAAAGTCTTCTTTCGAAAGAGCTTCTTAGTACTGTTGGTAAGTATGCTTCACAATTGAGCTCATTTTTGTTCTTGCAAAAATTTCTCTGTTAGTGAATTTAAGTGCTTTGCTAACTAGAATGAGGGATGTTTATACTAGGATCGTGTTTGTTTCGTGAAAAAGGTCCTAAATTTAAGCGAAAGAAAGTTCCTTTTTGGTTTTCTGGTACCATACATGTTTGTTTTGGTCATGATCGTGAAGCTTTGAAGGTACATTGCTTATTTTTGTTCTTGCAAAAAATTATTTGTTAGTGAACGTTATCTCCCCCCTCCACCTCTCTGTCTTCTTTTTCTCTCTTTCTCACTCTCTCACACACACACTCTCCATGGGTGCTCTTGCTCTATTATCTCCTTGCATTCCTGATGAGGATGATATTTTGCTCAAGAACGCTGTTGAGGTGCAACATATTGTTTTTGTTCATTATGTTGCTTAAATTGGTTCCATCCTTCGACCCGTTTCAAAAAATTTGATGCTCTTGCTCCATCTCTCCTTGCATCCTTGTAGCTTATTAAAAACCTGGATTTTGTTGGCATTTTTTTCTTCTTCATATGATATTATGTTTGTATCTGTTATGGGTTTTCAAATTTTGGGGTTTTTTTTATGAAATTTTTTTGGGGTTTTAGTGTGACGTGTGACATGGAGAAAGAGAGAGAGAGAGAGAGAGAGAGAGAGGTCTGAGGGAGATCAAAAAAATTTATGGGGCAGGGGTTGGGGTTTTGTTTTCTTTGCGTGTTTGTTGATTGCTTTGCTGGATACTTCTTTTTCCATTTAAAGTTTTTTTTTTAATTAATTTTTTGTATTTTTGTATGCTTTTTTTTTTTTTTTTTTTTTTTTTTTTTTTTTTTTTTTTTTTTTTTTTTTTTTCCTTTCTCTTTTCTTTTCCCTCTTTTTTTTTTTGTGACATTTTTTTACAGAAAATGGGATGGAGTTAAAAAATCTAACAGTGAGGGGGAGATTGACTTATTTTATTTAGTTATTTATTTACCGAAAAAAAGTAACAAGGGGCAAATTGACAATTTTGTGATAGTTCAGGGGCAAAACCGCAGTTAACCCTTACATTTTTGAAGCATTGCATGCTAGTTATTTTGTTCTTGAGCTCTTTGAAATAATCTCCTTTAAGGTTGTGCTTCTTTTTCCCTTCTTTGAATGACATTATTGTGTCATTAGAATACCGTAGTAATTTATCTTTTTTTATTTCTTGTAGTAGTAAAAGTATTCAACAGAGCAAGCGAAGAGATGGATGGCAAGGTAGCTTGTGTAGAATGCACTCAGAAGTGTTTGCGGGATCATGGGAACAAGAAGAAAGCTTCACCTGATGTTGCCTCTTTTTTCAAAGTCATGATTGGAGATCGGTTTTCTAAACTTTTGGTACGATAAATTGTCCTCCCTAGCCCCCTAAATCCTATTCTATTTCATTTTTATCTCTATAACCCGTCTTTTTTTAAGTCTAGGCTATATATTTTATGAGCTTACTAATTAATGGCTTCGAGATGATAAACAAATTCGATTGTATCTCTTCTTTTGTGGAGATGATATTCCCATTGGAAGTCCTTATTTAAACATCCATATTACTCTGTATTTTTCTTTCTAGAATTATGTAAACTATGTGATGTAGTAGACTCTGGAGAAATTCCTGCAAAAGCTTGAACTACTTTTTCTTTTTCTCACGAATATGATAAGTATACTTTACTAGTAATATGTAATTTCTGCAGCTCCCTTTTTGCCCCTATGATGAACTAGAGATTGCCTCGTCTAAGCTGACTGTATTATCTCGTTGCAGTTCTTGCCTCCTAAATTTGCTCCTACTGTGTCAGCATTGGTTAATCAAAAAGCTGTTCTTGAAGATTCACTGGGGCTGCAATGGGAAGTTATAATATCCAGAATTAATGGCTCCCTTTCTCTTAAACAAGGATGGAATGCATTTTCATTAGACCATGATTTAAAGATTGGAGAATTTCTGATCTTCAATTACATCACAAGTTCACATTTTATTGTTAAAATTTATGACAAATCTGGGTGTGAGAAACTCAACTTTCCCGAGGCCATAAATCAGAAGAAAAGGACAAGGGATAACAGAAAGTATACCTTCAAAGCTGGTCCGAGTCACACAATTGATAGAAGTTCAATGAACAAACGGGATTCAAGAACCTCTGTTGTGTATGGCTCAGATGCAGATATAGGTCACCACCTGCATGAGATGAATGACACGGAAAAAGCTCTAATTGTCACAGAAAATGCTTCAACCCGTGATAATAGTAATGAAAGGTCAAAGCTCAATCCCAAAGAAGCATACATTGAAGAAATGATCTGTATGTTCGATAGAGATGTGGGGGACAAACAAGAAGAGGACAGAACCTATATTTTTGATTTGTCTGATTTTGAAATGTTGAAAAAGAACTCTGGCACTGGTGGAAGCAATGAAGTAACTGCAATGGATGAAACATGCACAGATCATGATGATTCATTACTAAGATTGAGAAATGGAGCTGGCCCAGTTGACAAAAATCCAGTGGCTAAAGGAGCAGTGACTACAGCAATTCCTATGGATGAAACATGCTCAGATCATGATGATTCATTGCTAAGATTGATAAATGAGGCTGGCTCGGTTGATAAAAGTCCAGTGGCTAAAGAAGCTGTGACTGCAGCAATTCCTTCGGATGCATCCAAGTTTGAAGGGAGTCGGATAAATAACTCTTCTGAAACCAAAGTCCAAAATACAGCATCACCTTCTCATGAAGGTTTATGTATCTGCAAGACCTCTGGGCATCTCTTCCCAAAAGCTGCTTTAAAACTTGAAGAAAATGAGAACATCTCTAATATTTCAAACAGAGCAATAAATAAATGCCTGACTGCTGATGGATCAGGTAAGACACAATTAAGTTCCATGCTCCTGTGTGTTTCTTTGTGGGTTTCCTGAGTGAATAATGTCTTTAGTATATGCAGCTTTCTTTATGTTCAGGATCTTCATTTTGCTTGTTATGTATTCTCAGAATCATTATCAGGCAATGAGGTGGTAATCTCCGGAAGGGAACATGATTTGATCGATGACAGTTGCCAAAGTGCTAACAAAAAAATTTCTGAAACTTCAGAGTCCTTTGGTATTCCCATTACTTTTGGATCCCAAATTTTTCATAGCATTCTGGCTTGTCTTCATTTCAGTTGCTATATGTTCCTGCACTATTGTTGGAGCACCTTTCAGTTTTTGGCAAAGTGCTGTTTAACAATTTGATATATCTAATGTAATATTTCTGATAATAAAAAATTGATGTGTTGAACAGATAAAATGATGAAGGCCATTAAAATAGAGTCTGTGGGGTTGACTTCAGATCCATGCAGTCAGAAAATCATTCCACAAATAAATGGTAAGACTGTACTTTCACATCATTTTGTTAAGGAAAGCTCAGTTTGTGCATATGGATGCACGAGAGTGTTTTGCTGTGTGCTACTCTGATTTAACTACAATGCAACTAAATGTAGGGGAATCAGTAAAGGTTGTCAACCCAGTGGGTAGTAAGATTTCTAATATGATTAGAACAGAAAATGACTCTGCTGTTCCTGTGGTAAAATCTGAACCTGTTGATCCAGTCATAACCTTGCCAATCTCATCCAGTTTCTCCTGTCAGGTGAAAGCAGGCATTCAATCTTTTCTTGTACTCTAGTTTTTGCACTGTATATATTTTGTCTCTTCTTATACGCATTGCTTGCATTGAATTTTAGTCTGGTTTTATATGATAGATTTAGTGATTGACCATTTGTTGGTATTGGTGCCTCCTTCACTGCATGCTTTTGTTTCAATAATTTTGTGAGAAAATTGCATCTGTATTCTGTAGAACGTTTCTATTCTCCAAGATATGCGACATATTATCTCTTCAGACTTGTGCTAGTTTGACACAATCTTGTGAAAATCAACCAATTGACAATTAAGTTTGACTTTTTAATCAATATATGGGAATTGGGACCAAAAAAGAAAAATAAATGTGGGACTTTGAAGACTTAGTTATCAGCGTGCCGTATACATGTGCAGAAGGGCACATCTGATAATTGTATGTTTGTATAGTTTTGCACCTACCCTGTATTCACCTTCCCCATGTTATCGTTGTTGACTGAATACCGAGTATTCTTTTGGCTTTGCCTCCCTTGGATACTTTTGCAGGAGTTGCCAATGAGG